AGGTGTTTTTAAGTAACAGTGCTGTACTATATTATTGTAAGAGCTTTCAGAGGTTTTTTTTTTCATTATTCTGTTACCATCTTGCTGTTGTCCAGTGTAGCTCACTCTGTAGCACACTGGCTGTAGCCTCTCCTGAGGGCAAGTGTGCCACATTTGTTAACAGTGACTCCTGTACAATCACTGTGCAACATTCCTGGGTCAAACCCCACAGGCTGAGGACAGTGATTGATTTTGGTAGCTGATCTTTTCCCCAAGACTGGCTCAAGGGATGTGCCTCATTCTGGCAGTGTTGCAGCCAAGCAGGGAAATGTGCAGCTCTCTGTCTGCTCATAAGTTGTGCCAACTCTTCCCTCAAGTGGCAGTGGTTGGCATCAGGAGTGGCAGGAAGCTGCAGAGAGGGACTCCAGCTTCTCTACTCCACCTGACATGGTTCTCTAAGCATGCTGGATGAGTAAAAGCACTCCCAAGTTTGCAAGTTTCCAACTGCAAATATGAAAAAAAGCAACTCTGATGTTTCTGGTTTGAAGCAGTATACTATCTATTTACAACAAACAAAGCAGGTCAAGAAATACTTACATACATTCTGTACTTATTATTAAATCTAAAGTATAAGGCTTATATAAGGCCTCCTCAGGTTATTAAAAATCCTTCCACATATTCCATCCTGTCCTGAAATAATCTGCCTGTTGAAGCTTTGCTTCTGGGTCACATCTGTAGATGAATCAAGAGAATTGTCCTAAATGTCATTCAGTTTTTATCACAGCTGGTTTAAAAGGAAAAAAAAAACCACCAAAATGCAAACCTCAGTTGAACTGGCACAAAATCCGAGCTTTATCCGCTTGACTTTATGTATTAAATCTTAATTCAGCTCAAGAAATATTAATGGTGTATCCTAAATAATGCTTATTACTGTCTGGATTTTCAATTAAAGCTTCATAACGAAAGCTTTTAAGGAAACAGCCCTGGAATTACCCAATGCCAGTGTGTGTGAGCTCTGCCCCAGCCTTCCCAGCCAGGGGCAGTCTGTCTCTCCAAGCCTGGGGAGCTGTGTCCCTGAGGCACTGACACGGAAGGTAAATTGTCTGTGGAGACAGAAGGGAATCAGCGAGGCTGCAGCAGGCTCTGATTTATCCGGAGCCAGCAGCTGATAACTCTTTTGAGGTCAGCATGGTTTGCGTGAGAAAAGGAACAATGAAACTCTTGAGCCCCTTTGGTCCTCCTCCCTCCTGCTGAAGGCATGCTGAGTGTGCAGTGTTGGCATTATTAATTAATCAATTAACAGTATTAATGAGGTATTTGAAATGATGAGGATGGCCCATGTATCATCCTTCATTTCCTTACCCTCTCCAAAGCAGTTTATTCTGCACATTACCCTCTGGATGTACCCAGATCTTGCCTGTATTTTGTGAGAAGCAAATCTGCAGTGAAATTAGGTATTGAGAAGTACAGGATGATTTTAATTTAATTTCTGACTACAGGTGGCTCCACCCTCCCCTCTGTGGCTGCTGAGTCACGGCTCGAAGCCTCCTGGCTTTCACCAGTGCACAGTGTGTGATTTTAGGGGAATTCAGGCTGTCTCAGTATAGCCCTTGTTGGTGGGTTGTTTTTTTTTTTTTGCTACAATCACCAGAGCTCACAAATCCTCAGCAGCATAGTGTGTTTTTGGACTATTTTTGTATATGCCTCATGCTGAGTGAGTCACAGCAGCATGTGTGCACTTCCATGGGAATGTTAAGAGCAGAGCTGTTATCACTACTGTGTGTCCCTGTTCTTTCTTCTAATGTCACACCACAGATGTGCTCTAGTGTGTTGTGATGTGGTGTGGACAGGAAATAAATTCATCCTGATTTGTGGAAGTGGAGACCTAAACAGAGAGGAGGATAGTACAGAGGTTTGTGAGACTGCAGGTTTTACCCCTAATTATTTTGTTGTTTGATTGCCATTTTTCTGAGTCTGTGTTGTAACTTTTTCTCTAAAAATTCTTTTTCGTTTCTTTTTTCTCTTTCTCTGATTCTGCTGCGCTTTTTTTGTATTTTTCTTTCTCCTGGATTTCTTCGTCTCTTCTGAGCTGAGTTTCTTTGGGAATCTTCTTTCCCACTTATCTCACTTCTCTAGGTTTGAAGAAAACTCCCGAGCTCGTTAGAATCTTGTTTCTCGTGTTTATTAGAAGGTCATTACAAAACTTGGCAGGTCTCTCCAGACTATCTGCACAAGTTCAATTCACCACAACCTGGCTCATTTTTACTCTGGTGGTACAAAATGACCTTGTGGCTCACTTTGGCTTTGAAAGCACAAAATGGCCCCAAACTATGCAGTTCTTTTATCTTTATACTCATTCTTACCCAATTAACAATAGACACATATGTTATTTTTCTAAATGACCCATCACCTGTGTGCTGCACTGTGGCATTTTCTAACCAATCACTTACTATTACCCAAAAACTTTTAGAAGAAAATGAAGAAGAAGGAAAAGAAACAACATTCTAAATCCTCCATCTTGCCTTCTGCTTTCTAAACTAACTTAAACTCTAAACTTTTTTACCCAGTGACTTAAGAAAACTCTCTAATCTACACACTCACACTTTTTGCTTTTCTGTCTAACAGCTGTTTTCATGTATCACCATGAAAACATGCTCATGAATTTCATGTTATATGAAATTCATTGTTTTTCTGGATCTTAGAATTAAGTATCAGAAACAGAGCACACACTCTGTATCTCAGACTCCAACATGTGTCACCTGTGGAAATAAAAAATTGACTTTGATCATAGGTGTCTGTTAGTGGCTTATACTCCAGTGAGAGTATTTCCTACTTTAACAGCATTCAGGGCAAAACCTGCTGGTCAAAGGAGTGAGTGTACAGAGTGTGTGGGCAGCAGGCTGCCTGTCCATCCTCAGCAGAGGCTGGTGAAGCCAAGCACAGTGCCTGACTCCCTTTGCTGCTCTCCAGTGTCTGCTGGAACAGGACAGGTGGAGTTCTGTCCTCCCACACTGCACAGGGCTCAGTGCTTGGTCTCTTTGGATCCAGTAACCTCTGCCTTTACTTCAGTTTCTTGGCTCTTCTTTTTCATTGCCCTTAATTTGCACTGCTGGTTGCTTCCTCCTATGCTCTGCTTTGTTTTAATGGCCTGAGAGGCATTAAAAAGAAAAGCAAAAAATTAGTTCTTCTACTGTAACATGACTTTCAGAAGGGTGATGGAGTCTTGAACTGTCAGTGACTGCTTGCAGAGCAGAGCTTGCTTTGGGTTTGGCACTTGGTTGGTGTCTGAAAATTTTCACAAATTTAATGCTTTACTCATTTTCATTGCATTCTGAATTAAGACTTTGTGGTGATCCTCAAATGATTAGTGAAGAGTTTATTTGCTTTTAACCCCTTCCTCTTTGCATTGTTTCACTATAGTTCCTGAACATCTTACCAAGCTGGATGATGTTTCCCACATCTGAGCAATTTAAAGGCATTTATGAAGAAAAGTTCCTTTTCATGTGTTCTGTAATGTTCCTTTGCCCATGTCCAAATATCTTCCAAAATTCCATGGGCTGAGGGTTAAAAACATCTCCGCAAAATAGAAAGTGTGTTTGTTTTTAACTGGCATGAGTTCCTGACACAGGATCCATAAAAAGTTGTGAAACAACCAAGGAGGTATCTTGGAATGGGAACAGGTAGGAACCATGCCTCAAATTCACAGGTGTTGGGAAGGGTTTAAAAAAGGGACAATTGCTCAGAGTGCTTTAGGAGAATTATTGTGTGTGGAAGGGAGCAAGGAGAAAGAGAATGAATGGAATTTTTTGTTATGATGGACCGTAGAGGAAAATTTGGAACTTGCACAGAAGGGGCTCCCAGCACTGCAGTACTTCATAGAGTGTTCAAATCATTCTTGTTACAGGCAAGAAAGTTATTAAATCTTTGTTAATTATTTTACAGACTTCTATTATATGGCACAGGAAACTTAGGTGCTCCTCTCTGCTCTCATCTCTTTGTCCTTGTTTCAGCTGAAATTGTTTCAGTTAGTTTTCTTCCTAGCTGGTACAGATCTGTGCTTTGGATTTAGGGTGAGAATAGCACTGGTAACACACTGAGTTTTTAATTGTGGCTGAGCAGTGCTTACCCTGAGTCAAGAGGTTTTCAGAATCTCTGCCAGTGAGGAGAGGGGCACGAGAGGCTGGGAGGGAGCGTGGCCAGGGCAGCTGTCCCAAAGTGGCCACAGGGATATTCCAAACCATGGATCCCAGTACATGAACTGGGGCTGATCACAGGAAATCAGTATTTTACACTTGCAGTTTCTACAGCTGAAATCCACTGTCAAATTTTTAGGATGCCTACAGATTTTTCCTAGCTAAACAAAAAGCAAGCAAACCCTGTCACTATCTCTCGGTGTTTGTACTTGGTTGTTTCCACTTCAGTTGTGTAGCCAAGGTTATGATACTAGTCTTTAAAAGTGAACTTTTTTAAGAATAGCTAAAATTGTTGAAAATTACTAGAATTACTGTAGATTCCAGCTTGTTGGTACAAAGTAGAAATACAGGCTTCACATGGCACTGGGAATGGGATAAATTAATGTAAGAGGAACACTGTTAGATAAAAATGAACAAGCAATAGAGAGCACTTGCACAGAAAGGAGTGGGGAGTGCTATTCAGCTGGGATCATGCACTTGCATTTGCTTTCTTTTTCTTCGTACTGTTGCAGTTTGGTTTCAGACTTTATTATCTTGTCAGGTTAATAAGGACCATGTGGTGTGTTTTGGTGATGCCATAGCACAAAAGTAAGGTCAGGGAAAGGAGGAGCTCCCAGCAAAGCTCATGTAAGGGGTTCCATTCTCTGAACACACCAGCTGGGTTCTGTAATCTCTATTGAAATGTAGGTCAGGCAGCTGCTGCTCCTGCAGAAGCCTTCTCATCTTTCTTCCAGCTCACCAAGTTTGCAGGTGTCCTGTTCTGTCCTGTCCAGGGGAGGGAACACCGAAGGCATCACTCACATGTTGTGTCCTCCCTTTTGTTCATAGGGAACAGTTTTCACTTTGGAATCGGAAGAGGAAGAGTATCCTGGGCTCATTGCAGAGGACAGCAATGACATTTACATCCTGACCAGTGACAACTCAGGGCAGGTGAGCCCCCCGGAGTCCCCCACGGTGACCACGTCGTGGCAGTCGGAGAGCCTGCCCGTGTCCCTGTCGGCGAGTCAGAGCTGGCACACGGAGAGCCTGCCAGTGTCCCTGGGACCTGAGTCCTGGCAGCAAGTGGCCATGGATCCTGAAGAAGTCAAAAGCCTGGACAGCAACGGAGGGGGCGAAGAGAGGAGTGAGAACAACTCTTCCAACTCTGACATTGTTCACGTGGAGAAGGAAGAGATACCAGAGGGGATTGAGGAAGCAGTGGTGCCAGCCGGCGCTGCAGAGACCATGCAGGCAGCCTTTCCAGAAACCTCTGCTTCTTTACAGGAAATAAAACCTCCCGAAATTGCTGCTGCTGGAAAAGCACATCCCTCCACACTTCTGCGTACAAAACAGGAGGAGAAGGGAAAAGCAGCTGAAGAGCTTGCTGAACCTGAAATCCCCGTGTTAAGTAAACCTGTCCCAAAGTTAGCTCCATCAGAAGAAAAAGCTGCACCAGAACCTGAGAAAATACTGCTTCCAGGGGAAAAAAAAGGGGGGAAAGAGGGTCATTTGGAAGAAATAGAAGAGAAATCCTCAGCTGCGGAGGAGAAGCCTATCCTATTGCCAGAAGGGAAATCTATACTGCTGTACGGCGGGGCTGCCGCCGTCGCTATATTGGCTGTGGCAGTGGGAGTAGCGCTGGCGCTTAGGAAAAAGTAACGGAGCTCTCTTGAGGAGGAGGTGGGGAGAGAAGAGAGCACATCCAGTTTTTGTAGTTGTGTTACCTAAAGGTTGAGCTGCCTGCTGTTTAATTGGACATTTGAGTAACTCAGTGGTGATGAGGTGAGGTTGTTCAATAAGCCTCCAGCTACGGACAATCATGTTTTTAAGTAGAATCGGGGCGGGGACTGGTTTTTCGTGATTAAAGTATGGGGGTATTTTTAAAAAAAAAAAAAAAAAAAATCTGCAAATTTAAGAACTTAAAGTGCAGGTGCTGAAGAAAGGGGTGCTCATACTCTAGGAACTGGAACAGAGAATCCCCCAGGGGAAGGGAAGAGCCAGCTGCTGCCAACCCCTGGAGATTTTGGCTTCTCAGATTGACCGCTACTGCAGCTGTGCTGTCTTGTCACTTCCTGTTGTGCCCCCGAGCCCCTCCTAACAAACATTAGCCAACCTGAGTCCTGTAGCGAGAGGCTGGTGTCCCTTTTGTCTCAGCTTCCTCTCAGGTACAGCACTGCTCCTCATAACCTTCCAGGTTCCTCCTAAGCCCCAGTGGGACAGTGCTTATTCTTACCTCTTGCCTCACACTGGTTTTGGCCCCTAACGTTTACTGGAGCCCCATCCTGTAAAGATGCTGCCTCTCTATAGCTGTATTATCTCTGAGCATCCTGGTGTTCCTGGGGCAGTGCTGCTGCCCAGGAGGGTGAGAGGGACACTGCTGTTTGCTGGTTTGAGAATCCATTTGCTCTGCTCCTGCCCAGCCCACTTTACTGCAAGCCCTTCAGAGGTACGAAATTGATGCTGGACATGGTGCCATTGGGATCAGTACTCTGATATCTGGGGTAGATTCAGCAAAAACACAGCAAAACTGTGTGGAAGCAAGGCCAGTGCCTCAAGTGCAATTCAGACGTTAAACGCTCTGCTGTCCTGTGTCACGCTGCAGTCTGCATTGTCTTCCCCAAGTTAAGCACAGAGTGTATTTAGTCCTAACTTGGTCTTGCCTGTGACAGAATCCCAGATATATAAAGCAATGGATTCTAGTAACTGAGCAAAGGAGCATTAAACATCTCTATCTGCTTGTTCCTGGCCTGGCCTGGAGTGCTGTTCAGTGCGATTTCTTTTGCGACTGTGAACCTGTAACTGGCTGAACTTACAGGTTCACAAACGATGAGCAATTTACTTTGGCAAAAAAAGGAAATCCCCCCCCTTCCTGCAGTCACAGCACTTCAGGTGTGTGTGGAGAGAAGCTCTAAAGTGTTGCCCTACTCCTCAGAGGGATCCTGCCACAAGCGTTCCTCTTTCAGCACGTGTCTGTGTGTCTGTCCTTGTCCATACCGCAGCTCTGTGGGCAACACCTTGGGCTTCCCAGGCAGAACTGTGCATGCATCTCTGAGGGTTGGTGCTGGCACTGTGGCTTAGACCAGATGGAGGAAGGTGAAAGGGAACTTGTGATAATGTAAAAAATGAAACATGAGCTTATGGGAGTCTTCGCAAAGCACAAAGACAAGGTACTTTTATTTCTAAATTATTATTTCTAAGTAACCATATCAAGAGTACATCTCCTGATGAGCCTGTTTCTTAAGGGATCTCAGAATGAAGAGATCTTAGCATATTCTCTATTTTAGTATATCCTTGCTGCATTTTCCTATCCCAGGATGCTGGAAAGTTAGTCAGAATGTGTCAGATTCTGAGGAATTATTTTTGTGTAAGCTTTTGTGAAATGGATTTTCTAGAAAAAATGGATTTTGAACTCTGTGTGTGTGAAGTTGAATATTAAGAGGAAGGTTTGTGTATATACTGCCGCTGTGGACTGAACTTGGGAGCTCTGGAGTTCTGGACTGTACTGTTGATAGCTGATTGCTCTTCTTCCATGTACAAAACATAGCAGGTTGGCCTTATCAGAAAAAAAAATCTTTTATCACATGGAATTGACATTTTTTTTTGCCATTTTCTGGTGCCCTGCTGATATTCATTGCTGTGCTGTGTCCCTGGAAGGGGTGGCTGGGACCTTCTCATGCCATGGACTCTGGTGTCTGCCTTCCCACCACGGCAGTTCTCTCTCCTGGCCCCTTGCAGGAGCTTCCTCCACGTGGAGGAGAGGTCTCTTTATGCTCCATCTGTCATGGACATGCAGGATAGGGTTGTTTCAGTAGGAGTGTGGACATGGGTGGAGGACAGACAAGAATAAATCCAGGCTGGCAAGGGAAGAAGTTCCAGACTTAGTGCCACAAGGAGCCCAGTGGGGCATGAAATATAAATCTTCCACACACAGCAGTGAGAAGGTGGCAGCACTAGTAAGGAAAATCAATGACTGTGTTAGGCATTTTCATGGTCAGGCCTTGAGTGTCTGGTGTGTTGCTACATTTCATGGAGCATCAGTTGCAAGGTATGTTTTGGTTGCTTCATCTTTTCTTTGTAATGTTCTTCTTCTGGGGTCTTTTAGATTTGGCAAGTCAGCGAGAATTTGAACTGACCACATGTTCAGAAAATTTACTGTATGAGTCTCTTTCCTCTGGCACACTCCACTAGTTAAAAAGGTCAGCTGTGAGGTTGAGTTCTGCAGAGTTTGGAGTCCTGTGGTCAGAGCTGAGATCACCAAAGGTGGGTAAGCTCAGATGGCAGTGTTCCTACAGACCTGAGTGAGAGGCTGCACTGTTAAGAGGTGTGATTGAACAACGGAAGTTTTCTTCCCCCCTATTTTCAAATATTACAGTAATCCTAAACTGCAGGGTCCAATTACCCTGAAAGGTGTGGTGCAGCCTCTCTTTAGTGGATCTCCTGTAGCTGGCAGAGGGAAGCAGGAGCTATATACCTGCAAAAGGGCATAGAGAATTATTTTCACTTGTGTTGCTCATCCCCTTCCCAGAAGTGCCTCAATATCTGTCCTTGAGTGGCCTGTACTTTAACAAAATATCTACCTTAGACCCACTCTGTCTTCACTTTATCCTTAGCATACCCTAAAGCTGAGATGCTGAAATAGCAGAGGACTGGATCTGTGAAAAAAAGTGGGAAATACTTAAGGAACTGCAGTGGGTAGCGTGTCAGTAAGGAGTTGTCAAGGGAAAGGCTTTCAAGATAAGGTGCAACTTAAATTTAGCTGTGCTTAATTCTAAGCTGTGCTTAGTTGGGCATTGTGGCTGGGAGCTGGGAAGGGAGTTTCTTCAGCTGGCACTGCAGGAACAAGAGGCTGAGAGCAAAGACAGAATTCCTCTGTTGCCCAAAGTGCAGATGCAGAGCCGTGTCCCAGCTCTTGTGTGCTGGGTGGAGCCTGGTGGGCTCCTGAGTCCCTTGAGCTCAGAAGATCCAGGCTGTGGGGCAGGTCAGTACTGCAGGAATCCATCCTTGCTGTTTGTGAGGGCTTCATTTTTCCCTCTGGCCGTGCTCAGGCAGCTGCAGCTCAAGGGCCAGCTGGAAGCTGAGTGCTCTTACACAGGACAAGTTTTGCTGCCAGAATCCCATTTCCTTCCTTCCCCCACAGCTAGGCTAAAACTTTGGACTGGCTTTTTAAACTAATCAATGCTTTCAAATGGTTACAAATGAAAAGTTTAATTAGTACTAAACAAGCAAGCTGCTGAAGTTTGGTCTTCTTTCATTTTAATGAGTGTAGTAGATAAAATAATCTGAGGTTATAAACCTTCCCTATAGTTAATGTCTGTTACAGAGGTATGGCAGTACTGTCTAAGCCCTAGAAAGGTAGATCTTGCTCTTCTGGCACCTCAGTTGTTCGTTCACCAAGCCAGAGCAAGCTCCTGTTACAGAGTTTTGGAGTGCAATTACTAGAATCTTCTGGTGTGAAATGGGGGAGTGGGGTGGGGAGGTGCACATGGCTGGCCCAGGTGTGATGCCTACAGGCACCACAAAGCCCAGGGCTTCAGCAGAACGCCATATTCTGGGCTCTATTTGTGTCTGCTCATGTTGGAGCACAATGGGAGAAAGTGTTTCCCAGGGACAAATTCCTGTTTACTATCTTTATTGATGATCTGGATGAGGGAATGGAGTTTAACATCAGCAGATTTGCAGATGGCACAAAGTTGGGTGCAAGTGTTGGTCTGCTGGAGGGTAGCAGGGCTCTGGGAGGCACCTGGACAGGCTGGATTGGGAAGCTGGGGAACAGAGTGGCTGGCCAGAGGCCAGGCAGAAAGGGACCTGGGGGTGCTGGTGACAGCAGCTGAACTCGAGCCAGCAGTGGGCCCAGGTGGCCAAGAAAGCCAATGGCCCCTGGCCTGGGTCAGGAATGTGGGGCCAGCAGCAGCAGCAGGGCAGAGATTGTCCCCCTGTACTCGGCACTGGTGAGGCCACAGCTCGAGGGCTGTGCCCAGTCCTGGGTCCCCAGTTTGGGAGGGATGGTGAGGGGCTGGAGCCAGTCCTGAGAAGGGCAGCAAGGCTGGTGAGGGCTCTGGAACACAAGAGGAGCAGCTGAGGGAGCTGGGAGTGTCAGCCTGGAGAGGAGGGCATCAGGGGAGAGGCTGTGCCAGGGGAGGTGGAGTTTGGACATTGGGAAGAAGTTCTTCACAGAAAAGGTGATTTTCTTCACAGAAAAGGTGATTGGGCATTGGAATGGGCTGCCCAGGGAGCTGGTGGTGTCACCAGCCCTGCAGGGGATTGGAAAGGCTGGATGTGGCACTGAGGGCCGTGGTGTGGTTGCCAAGGTGGTGTTTGGTCATAGATTGGACTTGATAATCTCAAAGGTCTTTTCCAAACCCAGGTGGCTCTGTTAAACATGGAGGGGTGAGGCACAATACTCGCTCTACCTAGTGAGGGCAGAAGCTGTGCATGACTTTAACTGGGCTTGGACTGCCTAATTTCAGCACGAGGAAGGTTGCAAGAACAGTATTACTTTGACTTCATGTATGTACCTGTACTTAAAGGTGCAAGCTCTGTATTGCTGTAACAAAAAAAATGGGGGGGAGGTATTTAAAGAATTTCACCTAGCACTGCCTGGCTGGGGTAGAGCAGGCTGTCAGGCCCAGAGGGAGCAGGGACTGCAGGGCCAGGTCAAGGCACCAGAACTCAGTTTGTGTCTGCTAAAGTGAAGGTACCTGATCAGGACTTGGCTGGGGAAACACAGCAGCTCAGAAGGGTCAGTAAAGTCCAGGGGAACCACAACACATCACTCAGCTCCACCTCCTTAAGTTAAATAACTTTATCATTTTTTTCTACTTAGAGCTGCCCTTCTCTCAGTCTCTTGGGTAGGCTGACTTGCTTCCTCCAAGCTCGAGGTCTATGGTCATGCTGTAGAAGTGGGGGAGCTCCTGTTGGCTTCCAGTGGAAGCTGCTTTTGATCTCCCTGCAGTATCTGCAGGGCAGGCAAGGGACACTATTGATGTGGACACAACAAATTGCAGAGGATGCATCTTACTGCTATTACCTTTAGGGGCTTTGTCCTCAGTTTTAACTCGCAGGATAAGCTTTTATTCAAGTGTAAACCTAAAAACCCACCCAGACCAAAAGAATGCCACTTGATTTGTTAAGTAGCAAAGACTAATGGGACTGACTCTGAAGCTGCAGGTTAGGGGATCTCTTCTGCTGGGTGTAAGCAAATAGTGACAGACTTGCAGGGATTTTGGATTCTGTTCTCAAGAGGCCTGCCTGGGGGAGAGACCCTGACTGGTCTCAGATCACCCATTATCCCAGGAACTCATCATACTGTTCCTTCCAATATGCAAGTGCAGCCCTCTTGGGGAAAACTGTCTGAAGCTTCTTGTGCCATTTGGTTAATAAAAGTGTTTCCACCTTGACAAGAAAGTTCTTCCCGGCTTCATTGTTCAATATTCAGTTCAAGTGAAGGGGTATGTACATTTTTCCCTCTGCTAATGGGACACTGCTGTAAGACCATGCCCCCAGGTTGCACTTTAATAAATGGTACAGTTTTCAAAAAACAATGTGTAGACTACTTCTGTGCTTCTCCTCTCCCCCTGTTTTAGTGCAGGCACCAGAAGAAAAGGTGGTTTTACCTACAGGGTAACTTGCTTATGCAAGGCCCAAGGACAGGGCTTGAGTGTCTCTACTGCTGCCAGCTGCATCATAAGTGAATTAGAAGATTCTAATGCCATGAGTACTTGCAGAAAAAAAAATCAGGTAGAAACAAAGTCTGCAGAGCTGTAGTAGCCATCAGAAATGATTTTTTTTATTTAAGTTAAAAAACCTCACAAAATATTTATATACTTGGAAAAGTCCTGAGGCAGCTGGATCACAGGTGACACATTTGCCACCTTGTGTGATTATTCATCAAACAACCTGAGTCTGAGTTTGTTCGACCTGAGATGTGACTACAAGATATGCTACTTTTTCTAATTCATATCCAGGCTGCATTCCCAAGAAGACTTGCCCTGTGCCTGCCCTGCCCTTTTCTTTACAGTTTTCCAGTCAGTTTTATTCTTCAAGCAAACACAGGTGTATGGTGATGGATACTGAAGCATCCTTGTGTCAGCCTTGTCTGGCCACACCCTCCTCTAGCACTCAGGGTTCTGTTCAGTCCTGCTGCCAGCTTCTCATCAAGATAAGACCTGATTCCCACCCACCCCCGCAGATGATTCTGCTGATGAACCACCAATCCATAGCCCGAGGCCTTCCTGGGAACAGCAGCATGGCTCAGCTGCAGGAGCAGGGCTGGGAAGTGAAGAACTAAAGTAAAATGCTGCAGCTTCTTAGAAAAAACAATGAGAGGGCAGGCCCTGTGCCCACTGGGGCTCTGCACAAAAGCTGCAGCTGCTAAAATAAAAAATATTGTAAAAGGAGAGAGGCAAGCACTACTCCCTACAGGTACTGGGAGAGCTGGCAGGCAGCTCACGCTACTATTACTGCTGTGCTAGTCTACAAAAGCCTATCTACAATCTGCCACCTCTTTCACAGCTGTATCTCAGAAGTTAAGAGTAAATCAAGTGATCTTCATCCATCCAGGAAAATCTTCAGGAATGCACAGGCTGCACAGGGCTGGAGAGCTCACTCACCCAGCTAGAGGGAGAGAAACAGAAGGGGCATTATTAACAGCAGCAGTCTTCTCCAGAAGCAGTCAAGGCTGCCACCTGCCGTGCTCCTGCCCATGCCAGCAGGACACAGCCCATGGGGACAGTGTGGGACAGCCCCAACAGTGCCACCTGCCTGTGCTCCTGCCCATGCCAGCAGCAGGGACACAGCCCTGGTGCCCAGCTCCAGCCCCCTCCCTGCCCCTGGTGCTCCGAGTCAGCTGGAGCAGCACGGGCCAGTTTCACTGACTGATTCCTGGCATAACTCAGCATCCTGGGGCCAAGCCGAGAGAAGGGACACAGCCCAGTGCCACCTTGCCCAGGTTGCTGCCAGCACTGTCCCTGGCAAGGCTGCAGTGCAGGAGTGTCCCACAGGCCTGCAGCACAGCGCAACTGTGTCGCCTCTGCTTCTCAGGGGGGCAGGATCACAGCCCTGCCCAAAATCTCCTTCTCAAGGACCGAGCCTTCACAGCAGGGTGCATCCTCTCCCCAGACTCATTTGTAATTGAAGCTGGGGCCTCTAGCCTGGCTTGCCTGTGAGCTGCACAGCCTCCCCAACTCTCTTGAGTGCCAGCAGAGAACAAGAACAGAATTGACCATTTCTCATTGTTCCACTGCTAGTGCTAATTCTCAGGAGAAATTCCTTTCCCCTTCCAGTTCTCCCAAGCTCTGAGGAGCTCAGGAGGACAAGAGCAGAGACCTCAGGGTCAAGACACTGGGGAAATGCAGCCAACAGAGCTCAGGTCAGGCTTTTCTTCCCTGAGGGAATGAAAGAGTCATTAACCCAGAATTTTACTGGCACAGCTCCCTTAGGAGCTTGCAGGGAGGAGAGGAGCAGTCACAGCTCTCTGTGCCCAGAACAAACACGCTCTGTTCACTGGCAGAAACTGTGACATGACCCCCTCGAGCACACTCCACAGCTCTGCTGGGACTGATGTTCCCTTCTGGCCCACCCTCCAGAGCACTACAGGGAAACCAGCAGGCCACAGGCAGTTCAGAGCTAGGCCAGCCCTCAGGGAATAACCCAGGACAGCTAAAAGGCTGGCTGTGACTCCCACAGAACTCACAGTACTCACCATTTCAACAATGTAGTTGTGGAACTGCTGGTTCATGTAGTTCAGAGTGGTGTTAAAGACATGGTGTAAAAGGGAAGGCACTGTATTCACAATTTTCTTAGTCAAGAGCATTGCTAGCACCAACATGGCCTTCTCCTGTTCCATGTCTGAGGGGATGGAGCGTGTCAGCTCTCTCACTGCCCTGGACATGTGCAGGGTTATCTCCTGTATGGAAGGAAGAGAGGGATCTCAGTGCAACAGCTGAGGCAGAAAGGGGTCTCAGCACAGCCTGGCAGGACTGCTAAGAACTGATGTGCTTGTTGTAACACTCCACAGGATGCTGCTCCCCTTCCTCCCAGCCAGGCTGTTACATAAAAAAACCCAAAAAACCACCAAAAAAAACTATGGCACTTGATCCAAATGTAGATCTAATCCTTAGACAGCCTTCCTTTTTAACACAGGAGACCTCAAACTCTACTTCTCCTGCACAGCAGCAAGGCATGTCAGATGTTGGGCCAACTTGCATCTAGGGAAGAGGCCAGCCCAGCAGGTCACCCAGCCAGGCCTAAACCCACTGCTACTCCCAAAACTGTGCCTATGAACACAGCACACACAGTGCCTGAGAGCACCAGACAAAGGGTCTCACATGATTTGCTGTCTCTTCAGTGCTCATCAACAAGCACAAGTTAAGGTCCTGTCATTAACCTGCTCAATTCTTACCCATGTGATGGTCAGCAGATATACAGGACTTGGCACAAAAGTCCAAAGATCCTAAGTACTAAATCTGAGTCTTAGCCAGACTGCTTGTTTTCCAAGATAAGCCATGGGGCCATCAAAAGGACAAAATGCCTCTCAAAGTCAGGCCTTTTCCACAACCATCATTTCACCATCTGCAGAAAGGACATGGGCCCAGGGGACCCAATCTACTCATTAACTTCTGCCACAGAATCACCTCTAACAAATCTTCAAAGGTAAGTGTTTGGGATGAATTTTCAGATGCCTACAAAGTCACAGCAGGAAGGATGCAGAATATTTAAAAGGAGAACTGCTTTTCAGGTTGCTTTTCACTCACCTCTCTCGACAGATTCTCATTCAGAAAGTGCTGCACTAGGTCATTTACAACTCTTCCTTGGATGTCTTTATCCAGCTGGTCTCCGATCTCAGCGAGCTGAGCAGCAATGATCCGGATAACATCTTCATTTGTTGGAGCCAACCCTGCCAACACAAAGAGCAGAATTTACTTCACAGGCTGTAGCCAGGCCAGGTTCAGTACAGGTCACAGCATTTTGCTCATCTCCATTAGCAACTTTCTTCCCATCCCTGAGTGTATTCATGACAGGTCTAAACATGATTTCTTGAAGTGTACCCAGGCTGCTTACCAGACATAGTGGCAAACAGGGGTTTGTATGTGCAGTTTAGGTAAAGTGCAGCCTCATCTTGGCCAAAAGAACAAAAATCATTGCAGGGCACGTTAGAACATCTCCAAAATGTGAACAGGACAGTTACAGACAACATCCTGCCCAGAAAGGGGAATTGAGAAGCTGGGCATGACCTTCAAGGTCTTTTTCAACCTAATGATTCTAGAATTGAAGTGACTTGTCAGGACTTGTCTCCTAAGCACCATCTGAAATACAGCACTTCATAAAACAGTTGGAATTGGAAGGGACCTTGAAAGCCACCTCATCTAAACCCCCTGCAATAAGCAGGGACATCTTCTTCAACTAGATTAGATTGCTCAAAGACCCGGCCTAATTCACCTTGAATGTTTCCAGGGGTGGTGCATCCATCACCTCTTTGGGTGACCTGTGCCAGTGTTTTATCACCCTCATTGTAAAAATCTTCCTTAGATCTAGTCTGAATCTGTCCTTTTTCAGCTGAGAACCTTCTACCTTGTCCTACCTGCTTTTGGCATGAGACCTGTGCAGATTTGTGTGAGAGAGGGCAATTTACTGTAGCAGCTCCTCCTCACCCTGCTTCAGTTGAGGTCAGTGTGGCAGCTGACACACCCTGGGCAAGGGGCAGTAGCCACCCTGCAGATGGCCAGCAAAGCAGGAACAGGACCAAAAGCTACTTGAGGAACTGTTTCCACCAGACTGGTAGATCAGAAAGGGGTTTATCCAGTACCAGAACTCGAGCTGTTCCAAGATCCTAGCCCAAGTATTGATACTGCCTGAGGAGCAGTGTGAGGCCTAACTTAACTGCCTTATATCCACTCCTTGAGGGCAGCTAGCACCAATATCAGCTTTGTGCCCTTGTCTGATGTGCTGCAGACAAAACCCAGTGACAGGTGCTCTAAAAATCCATGGAGAAAGGAAGTACAAACACCAGTTGTCTTAACCTAAGTGTTAAATTCCCAACCAACACCACCAGTGAATTTTCTCAATAGAAAAAACATTATTCCTCTGAAACAGACAACAGCAAAGATAGGAAATGGGGAAAGAAAACCACCGTGTTCAGAGAGACATGTGGGATGGAGAAAAGCCTGCTCACCTAGCTCACCATTCTGAAAGTGGCCGCTCCGATTGCCATCGGTCTGAAGCTCATCGTCATCGTTTCCTTGGCACAACATAATCTGCTGGCTCTGCAGGGAATGCAGCTGGTCTCTGAACTTACAGTCTGAGGATGCCTCCAGGAAGGTGAACAGCAGTGCATACTCCATCTGAAGAGATCCATTGATCTGAGACATAGGGAAATCACTGTTAAGCCCATGCCTAGAAAACTCGAAGCATCTAGACCGTTTTCCAACGCTGAACACGTCTCTGTGGGCTCATCTGAGCACCCCTACAGCACCAGCCAGGGGGTCCACGAGGCCTCAGCAAATGCAGACTGGCTCCTGGATGTGGATCCACACAGGAGCATCCCATGGTGGAAGACAGAAGGCTCTGCTCTTACAAACCTGTGTTAAAAACCCAGCTCACCTTCTCACATTTCCAGCTGTGGCAGCAACCCTGATCTGAGCTCCTCTTTTGAAACAGGCGTGTATTCAGCAAAAAACCATCCACTTCCCTTACTCAGACACCTGGGTTTGGAAGGGTTTTACCCCATATCTGGGAATTGGGCATTCTACTTGCTGTGCATAAAGAAGGCAGCAGCTCTCCATGTCAATGTAATCAGAGCAGAGCAGTAACAAGGTGGGAAATAGAGATAAGAGCATAAGCCTGCAAAAAACCCCCAAGGTTCCCATTTCTTCTCCCACTTCAAAGGAACCTCAACCAGCTCCATAATAAACCTGTTCAGATCCTCACAGAGAGCCAAGCAGCTGCTCACAAGAGAAATGGCTGATCACTGCCACCTCCAGTGGCACACTCACCCCCAGAAAATGGGCACATGCTCTCTCCATAGCCACACAACCTGCAGCCTTCAAGCAAGGCAGGCTATTAAAAATTTAATTAATTAATTAGGAGGCAGGCAGATTGATAGGAGCAAGAGGCCCCACTGGAACACCAGGCCTCATAACCAACTAAGGCCTCCAGAAAACCAGGAGACTCCAATAATTTAACTTAAACAGGTAAAGAGAGCAGGATGTGGTGTAAGCACAGAAATAAAGTAAGAAAGAAAACCCTTCATCTTGTATGCAGATGGTCTGGCTGTAAGAAAATACTCAGACTTAATTTTATCTAGGGAGAAAAAAAAATAGTTAAAGAATGGTTTGCTATGCCAACACCAGGATGAACTTGGTAACTGAAAGGGAGTTTTGGGGAGTGGAACCTTGCAAAGCCTCCACATAACCATATCTGAACTAAGTGGACAAAAGGAGGAACAAAGTCAACAAAAGGCAGGGTTCAGAAATGGAAACAAATGGAAAATAAAGTATATGATCAGTCAGAGATGAACAGAAGGCACATATGGGGCACAGTGGCAATCCCCTCCAGCAATCTGCTGGACTGCTCATTGGGTTTATCACTGATACCTTTTTTTTATCATATTGTGTTCAAAAGGCTTGTGGCAGGGCAGAGTAGGGGATTTTAACTGTTTCCTACCATGAGCTGGGATGGGGGAGCATGACAAACATTTCAGTGACACCTCAATGTGTAAGACTGCAGTGTGCTAAGTAACAGCATCATAACTGTGTTCAACATTGCACAAACCATTGCAATGCAAATGACAGGGCTGTGCCCATTCCTTCATTAGTTTCAGCACTTTGTAGCTTTATCAATAAACATTGTAGTCTCTTGCACAGCTACATCTCCAGCTTGCAGTCCTAAGGGGAAGTGCCACACCGAGAGCTGCAAGGAAGCAACTTGCAACCTAGCTGATTCCATCCTCTTCTCTGTATTCAGAACAGTGCCAGGAACACTGCAGAAATTCTGGGAAATTCAAGAAGGCCACAAGCCAACACTGAGACTTATCCCCTCCAAAGTATCTCAGGACAAGTGCACCAGAGAACTGGGAACAACTGATTTCAGATACATTTGACTCTAACCTGTTCCATGATTGATTCAGGGACAGAGCAGCTTGGGTCACTCTGCTTCAGACTAGAAGTCCTTGTCCTGTGAAAGAGTAAGAAAGAAAAGTGTGAAAGGAAAACAAATCCCCAGAAACCCACATCTTGCAGCTGTACTTATGTGTCTGGCCATGCCTCATAGTAAACATCCCTTTTAGTGATGCATATCCCTCTTCCTGGAGAGCTGCCCATCACACACCATCAGTCATGAAAAAGGGCTGAGGAAACCACAAACTGTCTCAGTGAGAGGCACCCTGTGAATGAGAGGCACAAATCTCCTTTCTGCCACAGACATGTGCCAGACAGTGCAGTGACACAACCTACAAACAGGGCTTTAAAGCCAACAGCTGCTGTTGGGGAAGGCAGGGACAACCCTCCTTGGAGCCAGAGGCTGGAATGAAGAGCAAGGTGATCAGAGAGGATCCTGAGAGCAGGTGAGCTGATGGATCTGCATGCACAGCAGAATACTCTGAAATGAAACACCCAGCTGACATTGCTACACATCCACAGGGCCTCGAGGGTGCCTCTCCCCACCCTCCACGTGGAAACTCAGGCTCATTTCAATACTTCCCAATAAATATCTGTGATGGGGAAAGTTGGATCAAGGGCCAACAGAGCCTCCAGTCACCTGAGTGCAGCTGGGAAGAATGGAGAAAGCAGGACAGAGCCCAAGGGAAGAGGCACCCAAAGGAGAGGTGTAGGAGCACAGTGCTCCCTCCTCATCCTGCCAGGAGCAGCTGATGGGTGGGCCAGGACCTTGCATTTGCTGCCTTACACACAACAGTCCCACAGCTGCACACAGAAGTCTCTGGTTCAATTCTTGATGAGCAGGGCCTGGCTGAAAGTGGGCATTCCCTTCCTAGCAAGGTTTCTTCACCCAGGGCAATAACCTGGGTGTTATGCAGGTACCTTCTAACCAAAAATGGGCTGGAAGCACTAAGGAACCCAAACAAAAGGCCTGCTAACCATCAAAGACCTGGGCTAGTGATAAATGACCCAATTTCACAATAACAAACCCTCATATCTGTGTTTTAAATAACTAAGTGTGCTGGTAAGAAAAGAGAGAAGTGAAAGCAGAAAGAAATTCAAACTCTGAAGCAAACCACAGCTGTATTTCAAGAGACCATGAATGTCCCAACTTTTCAAAGGCTCTTACCAGTCCAAGACCAAAACACAATCTCAAATATATCTGAAACACACAACAGCCCACAGGAAGCCTCTTAACCATGAGCTCTTCTTTTCATGGAATTATGTTAGACTAACAGCTACAACACAGGCTTATCCCTTGCTGCTTTGCATTTTCCTCTGTTCCATTCAAATCCTCATTGCTGCTACTCACCTCTACCCTAAGCAGTGTTCTGGCTGGGGAGAGTCCTCTGTCCTGTTCTTTGGGACCTGAAGGGGCTCTGAAATAGGTCAGGGTGATCTTTCTTCTGGGCTTGGCTTTGCTGGAAGAGACACAGATGTTAATTCAGGTTTGAGAACCCAGAACACTGAGACTAAGAGAAAAGTGGGGATTTAGAATTAAGTCTGTGGCAGGACTTTGGCTTTGTGCAAACTCCTCAGGAGTTGTCCACACAAGCAACATTTCTGTAGGTTAGGTAAAGCCTCAGTTTGCACATACTCTGCTTTTAGAGATAACATTTCTTTTCAATGCAGTTTTCCCACTCTCTGCTTTAAATGAAGTGGCACAGACTGCTCCAGCCCAGCCAGGTGCCTGCTGCACCTGCAGATGTCAGTGGCTGTGCAGGGAGAAGAGACCTACAACACACGTGGGTTCTTCCCTTCCCTCAGGGATGTGTAGATACAGACACACCTCAGGCCAAGTCCACAGAAATAGAGACATTTTTAAAAGTCACTCACCATAGCTGAAAATAGCAATTTTATCTACTTCTGCATATGAGCAGAGATAAAACAAACAACAATGAAAAGTTCCACCATACTCCAAAGTACTAATGTGGCAAAAAATGCAGACAAGGGAGCCTGAACACGATAACATCACAAACTGAATTTCCTAAACCAGATTGACCACCCAGGCAGTGAATGCCCCTGAAGGCAATACCTGCCCTCAGCTAAGAAAGTTCTGCTTGGGTGGTCAAAAACAGACCAGAGAAGAGGAAAAAGGATTTATCTCACACCTCAAAACAGTTTCCTACTCCTACAATACAGGGCAGATTATTTTTTATTTTAGTTAACTAGTAATTACAGGAACCTCAAGTTTTACATAACTACTTTGAATCAATGCAAAGGGCTTAGACTGTTACAAAGTTCCTCCTGAGAAATCAAATTTCTTAATGGAACCTCAAAAAAACCCCAAAAAGTCCCCTAAAGAACAAACCCCAAACAGTCAAATGCAATCATGCTGATATACCACCCAAATTTTTTTAATCATTAAGACTTTGAAATCCTGGTAGTTTTAGATTCAGATTAAAACTGTTTCTAGTGAAGGGAAAAAAGTTACCTTATATTGGGTACAAAGAATCTTTAGTTGGAGAAGGAGAAAAGATGGATAAAGGGCAGAAACACCACCTGCACTCAGATTCAGAGTCAAACTAGATAATTTGCTAAGGCTGCTTTAGGGCTGTTGAAATCTCGGAACAAATTTTTATAGAATATGATATTTTAATTGAAACACCAACTAATTTTAATACATTATTCATTTTTTACTTCAATTCACTCATTAGACAAATGAGCTTTGTGAGAAGTTCACATTTCTTTGTGAGAAATGAGCTGCTTCTCAGAAATTACTAAATGCCTTGAAGTGTTCAACACATAAGACTACAAACAGTTTTTTAGACCTGTTCTTGCTCTGTTTCTTACCAAAAAAATGAAGGGGGGAATTTAAGCACAAGTGTAAGACCCTTAAATCAGTTCTACAGAATCAGTGTAGGACACATTCATTCCACCTCAACATTGTATGTGGGGCAGGAGGGGCATATGGCAAGAAAACATAATTAAGAGTTAGAGAAGCACATCCACCAGCAGCCTGTCAGTGGTGTAGGAAAGACCTCATTCCACCCACACACAGCAGTTTCCACAAGTGAATTCTGTGATTTTTCACAAGTGAACTCTGTGGATGCTTCCTCCAAGGCAATCACAGCTCTTTAGATGGGGCTGAGTACACCCTGAGGGATGGTACTGTTAAAAATTACCCTATAGTATTGGCTTTACTGCTCTCCAACAACACAGCTCCTTCAGGTCTGGTGTCCCCTCTTCTGTTTCTCCCTCTGATCCCCAAGTTGCATTATCCTTTAAATCTCTCAAGGAACTCACCAGAGGAGCTTTTCGAACCTGCAGTCCACCAGGGAGGGCTGGCACCACTAGGGGCCAGGACCCCCTGACTCCAGGCCTTAAGGAGGGATGGCACTGCAGGTTTGCAGGCTGGAAAAGAGGGAGAAGCAGGACTGCAAGACAATTGGCACTTTTTGGCCTCTCTGCCACACCTCAGTTCCTCCCACATCAGGATGTGAGGGGTAATCCCAAGGAAAAGCCTCACACACTGTATTATGCTGTGGTTACCTGCTGGGGGGAACTCCCCACAGCTCTCAGGGTTGCCTTAGCAGCACGTCTCAGAATCCCTGCAGCAGTGCTAAGCCACCCTACAAATCAGTTTTCATCTCCACACTTGTGCTACGTGCTCAAGACGGCTCAGAAAAGAAGCCACCCCACAAACAGTGTCTCTGCTTACCATCACTTCCCCTCAGACTCTTCACCTCACAGCTCAGCCTGGGAGTTACTATTCCCAGCTCCAGCGACACTGTCTGGTCAGGAAAACACACACTCTGTTCAGCAGGGAAGTCACAGCCTGTAGGGCTGATTCCTTTAATATCACGTCTGGATTCTGAGACACCTTCCATATAAATGCCAGACAGCCATGCCATCAGTCAATGGACCTATTGTGTGAGCTCTCAAGATGTTTATGTCTCATGTTTGAGTTAGCAGAAATTAAAATCTCCAAAGCAGAAAGCACAATAAAGCATCAGTCACTGCAAAGTCAAAAAAATTCCAACCTGGGCATTGCTTTTCCTGTGTGACAGCTGAAAGATAAGAACTTTGGGTGTGGCAGTCAGGATGACTGAAGAAATAAAACAATGTTTTATTTGTCCCTTCCTGGACCTGGTGGCACTTACTTGTCCTGTAGGCAGATGTTTCATTGCTGAGCTACAGAGCTTTTTACACAGCAAGGGCATCGTTTTATAGGCAGGGAAACCAAGTATTTGATATGTCCTAACATTCTAAACCCATACATCTAACCATAACCACTCAATTTTACTGTCTTCATGAGAACTTGCCACAGGCACAGCTACTTTACATATCCAGTCACTACTGGAAAACAAAGGAAGAGAAACAGCAACACAGCCTTGGGAAGTTCCTTACTTGAGGATATTCTGAGCTGTGCTGCTGTTGTCTGCAGCACTTCAGGTCACGAGAGTGTAAGGAAATACCACGTCACAGCCCAAAACCACCAAAAGCCACAGCACTCTGCAATGCTCCACTTCTAGCCCATAAAACCCATCAGGAACCAAACAGCCCAGGAAAGGTGTCTTGGTGTGCAAAACCAGCAGTGCTGAGATGATTTAATAGGATGTTATTACCACAGGAAACCTCTCCCCGTCACTCCTCAAAGGATTTGCCAGCCTGTAACAGTGTTTAGAACGCCCCAGGATTTTGCCTCATTTGAGACTCACTCCTAAAGTAGAATTTGCTTCTAGGCTTTGGATAGAGAAGCAGTGTGGTGGGAGAACAGACACTGCAGTGTAGAAGCAGGGTGAAGGATGGGCTCACCAAGACCCTCTGGATGCACACACACAGAGCTGTGAAGCTCAAGGACGGTTTGGTACATCTGCTTAACACCAAAACTATTGCCTTGGAGGGTGTCAGGTTCTTCCCCCCTCCCACAGGGAACACTCCTTCCAAACTAAGGGTATTTTCTACCCAGAGCTCATTTTGGAAGTGGCAAAACTGACAAAGCATGAGGAGCACACTTGGAGATAGCAGCAGCTCACTGGCCCAGAGCAGGACACACCTCCTCCACCACTCACTCGGGAGAAATGCCCTGTTAGTCAGGAATCACGAGACTACTTAAAATACAACCAGGAAAACCTCTCCCTGATACTCCTAGGCAGGACAGCCGACTGCTTGAGGTTTTCAGCTTTTGTTTCTCTTCCTTTCAGCTTCAAATTGCTTCCCTTCTTTAGGATGCAAATAATGCCACTACCGATCTCTCCAGCAAGGGAAAACAAAACCCAACACAAAGCCATTTATTTCTCATACCTTTGATGCAAAACATGCTAAATACTTACTACTCCCTTAGCTGGGGCATTTTTACATTTGCTTCTTTAGTATTTTAGTATTTAGAATTATCATCTCAGCCCAGACACCAAGCACTCTCAGCTGTGTACTTTGGCTTAGAAACACATTGCACTCTTTGTTTAAAGGGGGTTTATCTTCCTCTTTGGAAGAAAAACTTTTTTTGTTAGAGACAATTCTACAAAGAAGCTGTCAGCAGGCCTTTCTGATATAAATTTATTTAAGTCCCTGAAGGTCTTTTGCCTTTTCATGATGACACAAATTGCAGCAATCTTCTGGTTATCAGGGCAGTACTTTGACTTCTAAGGAAAAAAACCATCCAAATCCCTCATCAACCACCCTTCTCATTTGGCTCAAAAAGCTCTGATGTCCATCCCCCATGCAGCACATGAATAAGGAGCACTGCCATATTATTAATGCTCTTAAAAAACAGGCAGGCAGGAACTTTTTATCAGTGTTGTTTCTGTATTGGATCACTGACAGAGGCAGCACAACAACACTTTATTCTTCAGCAGCCAGCCTGCAGACACAGCTGAGCTTAAGCTGAGTCAGCAGGAAGCCTGCAGCTGGAATTTGAATTCAGCTAACTACTGCTGGTCCCAAAGAGAATTTCCACATCTCCATGCTTTGGGCATAGCCACACCCAAGGGGCAAGGACAGGACTTGGATCTTGGCTATTAGAGCACAGGCAGTTTCTTGGATCTGACACTGGGTCAGTTTTCCCCCTCCAGTGTTGAGCAAAGGAACTCCAGCCAGGTAAGCTCATCCTGCACTTCACCTCCTCACTAAGGTTAGGAAAATACTTCTATATTTCCTCAGGACCTGGTTGGAGAGAGCAGAGCAAACCCTGATGAAAAAGCACCATCACCACTATCATACAAGACTGCTGGTCTTTTTTCACAGGGCTAGCTTTCTGTTCAAAATCTAACTAATCTGTCTAAGAGCAGGCAGCACTGGGACAAACATCACTGGTGATGTGACAAGTGACAGTGTCCAGCCAGAGAAATGCAAGACTTGCTTCTGGATTCAGAGCCCCTGGCACTCTGGAAAAGCTGCTTTTACACTTTTTACACTGGAGCAGAGACAAAGTGCTCAGTTCCCACAGCAGACACAGTCCCAGCACTTGGCAGCCGTGCTCTGAGAGCTGCAGGTGCCACTTGGAC